TTTCCTGACCAGGGTGCACCCTCTTCCTCAACTAGAAAATGACAATGTTCAACCATTTAAAGCTTCTTCTCTGGAAGAATTTTATCCTTAAGGTAGGAACTCTTCACCTGTGGGGACATCATGAGTCCAAGGGAGGGACAGAGGAGCCCTGGTGGTGTGGTCGTTGAGCACTCAGCTGCTCACTGAAAGGCCAGCATTTTGAACCACCCACCACCTACTCCAAGGGGAGAAAGACAGTTCCACTCTGCCCTTTTGAGTTGCTATGGGACAGAATGTTTACGTGAAATTAGTCTGTGAGATAATGGGTTACAGAAAATGAACGACTTTACCTGTGAATGGGTCCTCCTCTGCAAAAGAGCTATTTTTAACTAATTATAGATGGCATCATTGGCACTGGTCACAGAAAAGCTCAAAGGGGATGTTCCTAGCTAATTCATGCGTTGTTCAGAGGTGGTGCTGGGAAGAGGGAGCAATGTTTGCTGGAAGAGTAATCACTACATGCTTACACTGGTGTTCTGTTTGGACTGACATGCAGCTTCTGTTTTGCTTTTATTCTAGAAGCGGAAGCCTCTGATTACAGTCCTTGAAATCTTGATGCCATTCCTGTTTTCTACAATTGTAATATACCTTCGTTTTAATAGTCTACCCAAAAAAATACCTTCTTCTAACTACTATCCAATTGATATCAGTGCCCTGCCAGGATACTTCTATTATTACACTCAGAAAAGTAGCTTTCAACTTGTGTACATCCCTTCTCGCAGTGCAACCGTGAAAAGCATCACTGAAATGGTGGAGAAAAGCTTTGACGTTCCATTTGAAGGTTAGACGGACAGAGGGGGCAAGGGTACGGGAGGCATATTTCCCAAGAATCGCCTGACATTTTTGCCCAAGAATTCTTGTGATTGTGATTCCAAATCCAGGGTCTTTAAATGTTAAATAATAGGTAGGGAACGCAGTCCACTTCGAGTTTTTATTCTTTCTAAAGACTATAGAGATGAGTGTGATTTATGGCTTTTTTTTTTTTTTGCTGTGAATTGAATGAAGGTTAACCCAGCAGATCAGTTTTCCATTCAGCAATACCGATGCGGTTTGTCTCATGGCACGCATTGCAGTCCTCACCATGCAGCATCGCTTAACTGCACTTCCTCCTCACCATGCAGCATCGCTTAACTGCACTTCCTCTCTGCTCTTCCTATTTCCATCCTCCTTCCTCCCTAACCCTTCTGAACTTGGTCCAAGGGCAAGTGCGGTTTATTTGATCTCAAGTGGTTAATTATTCTAAGGCTTGTGTACCTCCCTAGTGTAATTGCTCCCCCTTTAGGCCTATAGGGGAACAAGAACACTGCTCCTCGGGGTTTCTGAGGCTGTCCACCTTTATGGAGGCAAACGACCTGGTTTGCCTTTTGAACGTGTGGTTAGCAGCTAAGTGCCTTAACTGATGTGCCTCCAGGGCTCCTCTAGTAAGTATGTTGTTGTTAGAGACTGTTGAGTCAGTTCGGACCAGAGCGACCCTACGTACAGTAGAAGGAACCACTGTCTGGCCCTGTGTTATCCTCACAATTGTTCTCCTGTTAGAGTCCATTGTTACCACCACTTTGTCATTCCATCTTGTTGAAGGTCTTCTTTTTCTCATTGCCCTTCTATATTCCCAAGCATGATGTTCCTCTTCAGGGACTGGTTTCTCCTAACAGATGTTTAAAGTACGTGAGATAAAGTTCTGGCAAGACAAGTCTGGTGGGTTTTTGGTTTTTTTTTTGCAGTCCATGGTACTTTCCATATTCTTCTCATTGATTTCGGTCTTCCTTATTTAGGGTCCAACTTTCGCATGCATATGAGGCATTGGAAAGTACCATGGCTTGGGTGAGGTGCACCTTAGTCCTCAAAGGAACCTCTTTGCTTTTCAACACTCTAAAGAGGTCTTGTGCAGCAGATTTACCTAATGCAATAGTAAATGGATGCAAGTGTGAAAATATTAACAGAACTTAAAGGCTTAAAGTGAAAGAGAGGTGTTCATTCTCCCAGCTGTAGTGCCATTCAGTGGGGGCAACTCATTTTTAAAGGCCCTCAGAGTTCATATGTTTGAGAAGCACTATTTTGAAAGTTGTGCTTTGTGTGGGAGAAAGATGAGGCTGAGTGCTCCTGCAAAGATTCATAGTCTCAGAAACCCTGTGTAGGGTTGGTGGCAGTGAGTGAGGGAACATACTGTTCTAGTTCAGTGACTTTATAAATAAGAGATTATGAAATGAAAGAGAGTCCTAGTGACACAGTGGTTAAAGCACTCAGCGCCTAGCTAAAAGGTTAGTGGTTCAAGGCTACCAACTGCTCAGCAGGAGAAACGAGGTGGCAGTCTGCTTCCCTCAAGATGGCAGTTCTACTCTGCCCTACAGGGCTGTGAGTGGGAATCTCAACAGCAATGGGTTTTGCAAAATTTTCTTAAAAGAAGTATCTTCCCTAAGGAAGGTAGTGATGAGGTAGTTAAGACAGGGAAGGTGCAGAGCAGCTTTGTGAAATGGGAGCGTGATAGGTTCAGGAATCAGAGGCAGGAGGCAGCAGAGGAGCATCAAACAGCAGACCCTGGAGGCCAAGAGTCCCTTAAGTATCTGAGGATCTGAAAATCTGCCCTGGAGGCTGAAGCACAGAACATGTTGGGAGAGTGGTTTGAGATGTGGTCTGAGGTTGTGAGAACCTGTGGCTGAGAACCTTGTAGACCTTGCTCATGTGTCTGGGCTCCTCCTTTCTGCAAAAGGCAGTCTTAGAAGAGGCTTTCAGAGAAGCTGAAATTTCTCAAGCTGTCCCATGGAGGTGTGATTGACAAGGAGGTGTATCTGCAGAAATTCAGGAAGAGAAAGGGGATGGCTTGCACTCAGAAGATGGGGTTACACAGACACCTGCTGTCCCAGAGAAAGTAACAGGGGTTGGAGTTCCAAGTGATTGGTCGGAAACCCTCCTGCCTGTTTGGGGCCTTCCTCAAACATTAACTTCTAGTTCCCTTAATAGTGGGAAATTGTGCTTTACTTTCAAGTAAGCTTTATTTTAAAAGGAATTGTCTCCTTTTCTGACTTTCCTGTAAGATCCTACCTCAAGAAGTCCGCCCTCCAAAAAGTAAAATAGAGGAAAGAGCTAGGAGGTAAAGAGCATTTATAGAGGTCTACATACAGGCATGTACATATGTA